TATATATATATATATATATATATATATATGATTTTCCAATGACAAAAACCTTTTCAAGTGGATTTTTAAAGTGGACTTCACTTCGACAGTTTAAGGTTAAAACCTTACATAAAACTTTTCCTTCATGAACTATTGCAAATGGACTTTATTACCCAAAACATATGGAATGGGGGCTAGGGGTAAGACATGGCAACCCAAGGCGAAGGGAAGCAGGGACAGGCAAGGATGCAGGAATAGATCGTTGTGAATAAACCAGTGCTTTGGCCGGGTCAACTTCACTCGGTCCTTCTGACTTCGCCTTCGCCTTTTCTTGCATAAAGTTCCTGGGATGGGAAGCCTATTGCATCCACACGTAGAGTCATCAGTACCTTCCAGAAACTTAGTAGTTTGATGAAGCTCTCCCCCTCTGCTTCCTCGTCCGTTTGGCGTGCCTTAGGTGGCGTTCCTTTCACATACGATGATCTCCCTGTCGCGGTGTTCCCTCCCCCTCCCCTATATCTTTGTCCTTTTACCCCGGTCGTTGTATTCCCTCGCCTCCCCTGGATCTGTCTTTTTCACATCCGTTCACACGTGCACTTCTTTCTTACCTCCCCCTCCCCTATATCTTTGTCCTTTTACCCCGGTCGTTGTATTCCCTCGCCTCCCCTGGATCTGTCTTTTTCACATCCGTTCACACGTGCACTTCTCTCTTATACGTGCACTTCTCTCTTATACGATGACATGTAGTCTATCTCGTTCTTCATAATATTTTTTTATATTTTAGTTTTACTTTATTTATTAATTAGGCGATGGTCCTATAAAACAAGGGTTCTTTCTATGCCTTTGAATTGGGATAAAAGGCCCAAATAAGCCATTGATGAAAAACTGATACCACCAATGGTTTAAAAAATGGATCCCCATCCGGATCATTGAATCGACGATTCGGATCGAGAATCATTCGAATAGATCGAATTAAGCTTTACAAAAAAATCTAAAAAAATTATTAAAATTCATTATAAATGTTGTTTTTTAAGAACTAATAAAAAATAAGGATATTACATTATTAACTTTCTTTTTTTTTCATCAATTTGTGAATATTGAAATGTTCTTTTCTTGTATAAACTTATGTTAACCATGAAATTTACATCACACAAATAAAAATTATAGAATTATCATGGATAAAGTATATAATTATATATAAACTACAATAAAAAATAGACTAAATCCATGAAAAAATGGCCACTAAAATCTCAAATTGACGAAAAACCCTAATCCGTTAAAAAAAACCCAAATTATTACAACCTAACTATAATCCAAAATTATTACAACCTAACTAACTATAATATTATATACTGAAATTAAAATTGTTGGTTTACATTTTATAATTATTTTATTATAAAAATAATTATAAATCCAAAATATTTCATAATATTATCTAATTTAAAATATATTATCGATAACTCTAAAAAAAATAATACATTACATGATTTATAATGTAAAAATAAATAAATAAAATAAAAAATTTGATTATCAATGTAAAAATTAATAAAATACATATCAATTTTCGAAATAACACTTTAATTTTTAAAAAATTTATTTTTTTAGATTTCTAGAATAAATTTAGTAAAAAAGATTGTTAGTAGAGAGAGAGATTTCAAATGGAATAAACTTTTTATTTTCATTTTTTTGTACGCCTTTTATATTATTTACAATAAAAATAATTTATAGCGCTATATTATTTATAATAAAAATAATTTATACCCAAGCAAGGGGATTTATACTTGGGTGGTCAAGAAAGAAACCGGAGGTGATAACCATCAACGCCACCTTGCCGCATGTGACATTATGTCTCTAATTAATATACATATTCAATTTTTATCTTCATTTAATGAAATTTGTGGGAATTATCCCACATCCAAGGACACATATTAAACTTTCTTCTATAAATAACTATATAATAGCTATTAAGATATACGAAACTGTTGAGGAAGCCCAACCCAACATGGGAGAAGTGCTACATGTACGCGCAACGCAGCAGCGGTGAGGTTGTGCCACGTGTTGAACCTGGAGATTGATGATGTCAAAACCGCCGATTTATGATGTCATCGAGCGGTTCACTGTTCAGAACTGCCCGGTTCTCTCTAGACACGGGCGGTTTTGAATATTTTGCTGGAACCGGTAAAGGGGTGGTTTTGAATATTTTGCTGGAACCGGTAAAAGGGTGCCGATTCTCAAGTCGAACCGAACGACTTGCCGACTCGGCCCGACTTTTCAAACACTGGATACCACTAAACGCATCCATAATGAAAGGAGGCTCACTAGGATCCCAACAATGTTAAAATCGAAGCACTTTAACAAAACAAAACCATCTGATCCTCAAAAGTCTCAGTATCGATAAATAGGAGGTTGATATGAAGAGTGATGATAGACCACAGGCTCTCCGTGCAAGTAGGGATCCCTGTACCCTATCTCTTCTCTCCTCAACTCTGGCTCCCTGTGCAAGTAGAGAGCCCTGTGCCCTATCTCCTCTCTCCTCAACTCTGGCTCCCTGTGCAAGTACAGATCCCTGTGCCCTATCTCCTCTCTCCTCAACTCTGGCAATCGACGATCTCGAAACCCAACAATGGGTGGCTCCCTCTCATAGTAACCCAATTCAATGGGCCTCTCATAGGCATAATAAGGCTCAGGGGGTGGTGGTGGAGCATACACCTCTCTCTCATATGCCACATGCTCCACAGGAGGCAACCTGTCGTCCACGATCCATGGCGATTGTCTCCTATCCCTTGGGGCCTGCCGCCTATTCCTTCCTCTCTCGACCAAATCATGCACCTCTTTACTTCTTGGCCTTCGGGATTCCCATATGGGTTTGCTTGGCCCAATGTTTGCAGGCTTGAAGAGTTTACATAAGTTCTTCACCTAAAATGACAGGGAATCACAAAGATGTTAAAACTCTCTCTCTCTCTCTCTCTCCCTCTCTCTCTCTGTGCACGCCCGCACATGTGCCAGAAGCATGTGACTTCATGCTACTGTCAGTAATTTTTGTTTAAGTGCTACTTCAATAGCATCATGGTGGCCAAGCCTGTCACTGTTGAACAAAATTCTGCTTGAAAAGGAAATTTGCTGCAAGTTTTAACTATTTGAGTAATATTGTGGTCATGGGGTTCTGGGGACGACACCCAGTAAAAAAGCAGGAAAAACTAGACAACACTGACCTGTTCAGAGGTCAGTTCAACATTGAACTTGTTCTTCGTGTAATAGTTACTCTTGATTGCGGCTTTGAACTTCTCTTCAGGCAAAGGCAAGCAATCATTAAGTACAGTGAAGCGAACCTGATTACAACTATGAGAAATGTTAATAATTTTGATTCTTAACTTCTAAGAGTAATGTTAATAGTGAGATTAATATTAATAGCTCTAAATCTCTTGTCAATACTTCTCTGATGCAATGTGGCATTCCTGAAGGACATCAAATAACCAGCAAATGAAAATATGATTGACCTCATCATGCAACTTTAAAAGCATTGTTATGGCTTACCCAAGAAATTAAAGAAAAATAAGACTAAAACAGGCATCAGTGTATATGAGTAAAATATGATCCATGTGCTCATCAAAACCCCTTGACCATAAGGTTATTACCATCCCATCAATGTGCTTGACAGTGAGAGGGAGTGGGTCCCACAGTACAATTCAATTGATGACTTCTACGTTCCTAATTTCTCTCCACCACCGTCAAACCCATTGATTGGATAGTAATAAACCCATAGGTCATGTCTGTTACCTCGATCATAAGAATCATATCATATTTTTCCTATACAAGCATCAAGATCTATTTATTAGTAACATTAAACTTTTATTAATATAGAAGGTACAAAAACCATGCTGGCTATAAAGTTTTCAGCCCTTCCAAAGCAGGCCAAGAAGCCTGCCCGCTACAGTTCTCTTGGCGGCATTTTTCAACAGCTTTGCACTCTTCACCTTCACAAGGTATATTATTGTGAAATTTAACAGTCTGTGGGCATCCCCTGAGTTCTAGGGGTATTAAACACGTTTCGACATGAGAAACTAAAAGAACAAAAAAAATTCTCAAAACCAAAATCCGGTGCTAATAAAAATCTAAATGTGTTTAATTTCTTACTATTCTTTGTCTGTTTCAAAAGCTGAGGATAAAGGTATGCTACACTTTGTTTGTTGTTTGTGTGTATCAATGAAACAATCCCATCCTCAATTTTCTTACATGAGGAATAAAGAGTTCCCTTCTCGTAGATATTTCATAAAGCAAAACTCATCAGTTCTCTAAAAAAAACAACACATCTTCCGTTGTTATTCATCCTGAGGAATCAATCAGCACCTGGATTATCCTGTATATCAGTAAAGCAAAACAAATCCTGTCCCTTGGTTATCTAAAAGTGAAATGGAAACAACATCCGTCTCAAAAACTATTCCATAAAATGCATACTGGTCTATTGTTTGACAAAACATACTGGTCAGTCTTTATAAAAAGGAGAATACATATCCTTCCTTGAATTCACACAGACATCTCAGTATTGGAACTTGTTCCCTAACTAAAATACCCTTGTTCAGTGATCTTAGGGAGCCTCGATTCTAAGCTTCACAGACGCCAATCTCACATACTTTATCATTTGATCCTCGACAAATTTCAAATCACGCTCCCCACATGTTGGGATCTTAATCCCTTTACCACACGATGTACGGATAACTATGAATCTTCACGCGTCACTTGATCCAGCGATCCCGCTTCTGCTCTCAGATCTTCCCTTGTTCCGGATCTTGGTAACATGGTATAGAACACAAGTGTGGGATATGCTACATTACATGGATTCTTCTATTTGGGTGTTGTACCTGTGTCAGTCATGTACCGACACAGATGCTGATACGAATTCTTTTCGATAGATCTTCTTCTTCACTAATCATTGACAATGCCATTTTAGAGACTGTATGGATGGAAGTAGTGAGAAAAGGTGTGGTGACCTATAGTCTAGCTGTGGGTATGACACATGATAGAGTGGAATGGCAGAATAGGATTCATGTGGCCAACCTCTAGTAATTGGGATAAGGCTCGGATGATGATGATGATCATGGTGGACATATATGAATTTTGAAAAATATCAATGGGTTCAGCCAATTAAAGTTCTCGATCAAAATAGTTGCAGAAGAGGAAGAGGAGGCCCAGGTGCAATCATGTTCCTTGCAACTACTAAACATACTGCAGCAAGTAGAAACCACTACACAAGCCTAGGAGGAACCTAAGCCCAAAATTAGTAAAAGGGCGCCTAGCAGCAAGACGAAACCAGGTGAGGAATCTAGTCAGGTCATCATGATATACCAGCAGTGGTTAAGATGGACACAGTGGTGAAGGTGGACCAGTGGCCAAAGTCGCCCTGCTGCACAAAAGGATGACGCATCCTCAACCAATGAGCAACGTGATATGAGGAGTCATCCATCTACTCCAAGTGAGGTAAAGAAGTCGAGATTCAACAACTGGCATTCGTATTCAAAGTACTACACAACCTATGGTACAACTAGAGTTAGGCCTCCCTCTTGAGCGCCATGAGAGTCAGCATCAGTGAGGCCACAGAAGTGGACAAACCACACACCAGGTAAGCATAAATTGCTAGCAGTGAACCTGGCCAAGGTCATGAAAAAGAGGACTTAGCAGGAAGCTACAATTAAGAGCCTTGGGTTAAGCTAGGTTTATGCTGCCCTTGTCTAGGACAATAGTCCGACGAGAATGTGGGAGTTAAGGTGGGGGAAGCTTGTCAAACCCCCTCGTCAGCATTATGCGTGCAGGCAATGTTCCAAAGAGTGCAGGCGGGCGCCTAGGTGTTTTGGGGACCTGGCCACCTAGGCGACCAGGTGCCTGCCCAGGAATAGGGATGGGTAGGGACTATCAAATAAGAATTAAGATATAAGTTATAATATAACTATTATTTATTAATTAATGTCTATAAGATTTGGTTTTGGATATCAAATATTCACAAAAAATCAATTTCATACAAAGTTTATGACTATTCACAAAATATAAGTCCATATCGGTAAATGTTCCATCTACAAAAATGTAAAAATATCAAAAAAAGTAAAACAAAACTAGTAGGATATCAAAACATCACACATTGTACAAAAAAGAACCAATTATTCAAAAACGAATTCGATATATGCCCAATTTCATCGTCCAAATGAGTTAATAAAATTAATCACAAAAAAAAATCAAAGTTTCAACTACAAACATGTAAATATATCATAAAACGAAAAAAAAAGTATAAAAAAAGAAAAAGAAAAAAAATCAAATGACTCAAAACCTTATAATGGCATAATGTTCTAAAAATATCCATATGAAAACAATGTCAGCCCAAACCTTGTCTATTCGGTCGCCAAGGGCATTTTTCCACCCTCGGAGTGGGGGGAGGGAGGGAATTACTATATGGACTGTAGCCGAGGGAATTTTTCCACCCTCGGCAACCTGCATCGAGGCGGCGCCTTGCCCGCCTAGGCGTTTTAGCCGATTAGCCGCCTAGGCAGCTGGGCGGCCGAATTTTTGAACATTGCATTCCGGCTAAGTGAGGTGCGTGGAACATCCTAGGTTACAGAACATCCTTGTCAAACCCCCTTCTCAGCAATTAGCTAACTCTCCTGGCAGGCCCGTTGAGAAACCTATGTGAGGGAATAGAACCTACCTTGACAGACCCTTAATGGGCAGCGACGCTAATGCACAACATAAACATGGGTGCACTTATGGACTAACATCATCGGTGTGAGGCCTTGAGAAAGATGGTGCAACCCGATGGTTAAAATGGTGGGACTTGCCAGACCACCGATTCCAATAGGTCAAGGCTTGAATCAATATTAACCTAGGTTCGGTTAGAGCGAATCACCCAAAATATATATATATTGTTTTTTGAGCGAATCAACCACTCCACAAAGTTAAGAGAAGCAACCGGAATTTGGTTGACTTCTTTTAAGTTGGAAATGTTAAGATGGAAAAGTTGTGTTAGCTGGTATGGACTGTCACATGCCACATGGACTTAAAGAGGTACTTAACCAATCGACCTTGTGTAATACAAGTCGTATCTCTTCCTTAAAATATTGCTTGCATTACATGTCCCATGCTACGTATAAATTGGGTACCTCTTTTAAGAGGAAAAGAGAAAAAATGCTAGTTGTATGGAAGAAAACCGTAATCTCTCTGTCCCTCTGTACACACACACACATATAACGTGTAAGAGGGAAATAATTAAAATGGAACATATATAAGAGGCTTCCTTTCTAGGCCCTATAACTGAGGCTTCCTCTCAGGCTTCGTTCCTTCTAGAGAGGGTCAGAAAATCTGCCACCTCCAATACGCAGATGACAGATATGCCTCTAAAGTTGAAATCGATAAGCTCTGGCTTTTCCTCAGATGTTTTGAATTTGCATCTTGCTTGAAAATCAATATGACTAAGTCGAAGATTATGGGTATTGAAGTTTCTCAATCCCTTTTGTGTACTTTTGCACGTAGAATTGGTTGAGGTACTGTTGCCCTCCGGGAAAAATATATTGCTTGGCCATTATGCCATGGCAAGCCTCAGAAAAGCCTACAGGCCCCCTCCCTGAAAAGTTTCAAAAGTGGCTGGCTTTGTGGAAAGGTAAATTCCTCGACCTCGGTGGCTGCATCACCCACACCAAAGCCACCCTATCCAATATCCCTATCTACTTCATGTCTCTATTCCTTATGAATGCAGATGTTATCCAGGTCTTATAACGCCTCATGAGAAATTTTCTTTGGTCCGGGGACTCAACTATGAAAAGTTCCATCTTGTGACTTGGGATAAGGTCTGCCTACCCATACCACTTGGAAGGACTGGGAATACATCATCTCAAACGTATGGGTAAATGGTGGTGGCAATTTGCCACCCAATGCATTGTCCTTTGGAGCGACGTTATTCTCCATAACTATGGAAGTAATACACTGAGTTGGTTCCCTTGGAGAAGATCAAATGCCAACTCCTCTGGCTTCTACACAGGCCTTTCAGCCTCAAGTCAAGCTTTTATGTCCTGCATTAGATTCAAGGCCAACAATGGATTTAGAATTTTGTGGGGTCTCACACCTGGATTGGTCAACAACCAATCAAAGACCCTGGGCAAATCTTTCTGCAGTTGCTGCCTTACCAGATGCAACAGTAGCACAACACTTTGAATGCTCAGAGAATAACATTATGGGGACTCCAGCCTGCAGGAGACTCGGGCAAGAGTTTGAAATAGAGGATTTCTTAAGCAAGCTTTGCCTTTTATCTCATGTTTTTATAACCAATATTGGAAGTGACAAAAGCATTTGG